CCAAAATTTGTTCTTATGATTTTATAAAACTAGTTGAAGATATATTGATATTAAAACGAATTTCCAAATATATAATAAAATAAAAATAATATAAAATATAAAATAAAAATGCAAAATGTAAAATAAAAAATAATGTGACTCACAGATATGATGCGCAGCAGCAGAGTTGTAATTGCATTGTAACTTTGTCGGTCTGTAACATACAAATATAAAATTCAAATTTTAACAATGTTCAAAGAAATAAATACAGAAATAAATATCTCAAAAAATAATTATATTATTATGTATATTGCATGTTGAATTCTTATAAATGGATATTTAGCAATTACATAATTATGAAGTAAATATTTAAAAACAATGTTTAAATATATTGTTACAAAATAAGCACACATATTGTATTTATTGGATTTAATTTGTCTAAAAATTGATTTTTAACAAGATAATTAACAAGATAATTTCTAAAAAAATTTAATTGTTATAAAATTAATATTTAAATAATTTATAATTTACAAGTGTGCGTGTGGACTTAATGGCTAACGCTATAATATTTGGCGCGAAACCTTACTCATTTTATTCCAGATTTAAGAATTTTTCATTTAAGAGAATAAAATATTCTTCTTTCAATAATAAATATAATTGTCTTTATATCAATTTCGTTTTATAATAGATTGCAGAGTATAAGTATATTTAGTATCGGACTCGAAAATCTTTCCTATGTATACAGTAAAATTGGTATACATTGGCAATAGAACATGGTGAGAGAAATCACTATGATCTGAACTCTGGAACAGTCTTTAGATAAATTATCTAAATAATCGAGATGTTATGAATAATAGTAATAAACAATAATAAGAATAATAGTAATAAATAAATAACAAATATTATATACTTCTTACAAGAAATTCCTTCGTCATCGTCTCCCAAACTTTTTCTTCTTTCAGGTTTTTTCTCCGCTGCTTTCAGCCGCTACTCACGTAATACTCACGAAAATAGGGTTAATTACATCCGCACATTAATCAGCAATATACGACGATCACGTACTTTATAATATTATGCATAATATTCTTGACGTAATATATTCTTAATCGTACACGACATACACCTTATCATTTTTCGACACGAAAAAAACATTTACATTCATTAAGACACAAAACTTTTGCGACTATATATTTACACTTTAAATTTAAACACGTTACGAAATCGTATCGTATGAACATCACATTATATTAGTGCTTTCTAACAAGAAACGATGGTCTAGTTTCCATTGAAACATTAATTCACACTTAATGTAGCGTAGAATCAAATTTAAGTCAATGAAAATGCGTTTGATTGTGCTCATTTCACTCCCGCTTCGATCTACAAGGTCACCAATGGAAATCGCATTGTATTAGTATTTCTATTGGAAACTGCACTGAAGTGAAATCAAATTGAGAGGACTTCAGTGGAAACTAGTCTAGTGTAACACAATGATCATTTCATCTTTGTTTAATATTCGCAAACAACAAGGATATAATGATTCACATTGTGTCATTTATGTCTATTGCTGGAGAATACCCATTATTAACCAAAAACTTCGAAAACGATGTTGCCAACTTCGCTCTGACGCCGCGCAATCGGTAAAGTGATGCAATTAATAAAATCTAATTAATCGCCGGTATTCGTAATCCGTTCTTTTTTCATTATCATCTTAAATAATATCTTAATGCAGCTCTGTGATTGGCTTATGATATTTAAAACTATATTTAACATTCTCAAATACATAGAAATTAATTATGAATGCATTTCGTTTCATGCATGATGCATTATTATTTTATCCTTCTTTGAAATTTGAATAAGATAGTCCGTTCTTATTTCAAGATCATCTTAAATAATATCTTAATATGTCATATGGTCCTCTGATAGTTCGTGACTGTTTTTTTTTTAAGACTATATACTTAAGACAGTCTTAAATATAAAAATATAAGAATATAAGAATTGAATATATATAGTGACCAAAGTGATATTAAACGGAACACACTCTATAAATACTGGCCTATTATTGATTAAAAAACATGATAACCCATTTAAAATGTGCAAGTACAATACATAATATATCTCGAATAAATGAAAAATACATGTCATTTAACGACGTTTTTCCCTCGGAATACTAGACCTAGAAATAAGCGTATTGTTTCGTACTCTTTAATCTACATATAATCCGTATTATTATACGTTAGATACCAAAATTTGAAGATATTGCCAATTTCTCTTCGAAACGATGCTGCGCAGTGCGCACAATCAATGAAATGATGCGCTCGATAAAATCAAATTAATTAAGAGAATCGGCTTAAAGATATATTATACGTATTTTTTAACAAAAAAATTACGAAAAAATTATGAAAAAATTAAATTCTTCTATACTGTATTTGAAAATAAAACGAAAATTTTTGGCGCCATTTTAGAACTCGGATAAAAAATTATTTCAATAAGTAGACATGTTTTTAAAAAAATAGTTAAAATAAATGTTCACTTAAATTATAAAGTTGTATTGTTAAATATATAAATATTAATCTTATTAAACTGTTTCATATGTATATAATTATATTTATATTTTACTTCTATTCGGAAAAATTAATTTTTTATTCCAGTCACATTTACATTTTGCAGAAACTATACACAAGACATATTTTTAAGCGAAAAAGCACAAGTGAATATTTTAAGCAAATGAATCTCGCGAGATATATGTATCATTTGTGTTTTGATGTGTCAAGACTGAGAAGACTCTTCATTATTCAAATCGCAAATCCGAGAATTGTACTTATCACTCTCAGCCTTTACTTTGTGTCTTCAATTCAAAAGCACGCGGCGAGAGAGAAAGCCGAGTTAGCGAGAGACGTTTCTTAGTAACACTAGAGATACCTCTCCAACAACGATACTATTACGGAATAACGATACTGTTATAGACTTCATGTCGTACACGTACATACACATTACCAGCGATCCGTATAGAATGGGAATACAGTTCACTTAACGTTATACAAATGTTTCGAAACATTCGATTGACTAATTGGAAGAAAGAATTTTATTAATTAAAAGTATGGACTGTTATCCGCATATCTAAATAGTATATCAAATGATCAACAAAAATGGGAGTTAGGGAGAATAGAGTTATGAGAGAAAGGGAGTATGAAAACAATCATTTTGTTCTCATTAATTCTTTCTTCCATTACATCGTTGAATAGAAAAAGATAAGATTGGCTGTCTTCGCGTCCTATCTCATTTTTGTCGATCAGTTTGACACACGATGCAGTCCATATTCTATGATTACGTTTACAGACATTTTTAATCGGGTTTAATAACGTCCGTAGTTAGAAATTGGCTAATCACAATCGTTCCATTCTTCAGAGGAATAACCAGTTTCATATGTAATTACGGATGTCAATAAATTCGATTAAGAGTGTCTGTAAACGTAGTCATTGTCTTTGCATGGACGAGATACTATTAAAGATCGATATTCTTACGGGAGTCGCGTCTCTGTTAAAGCTGTTCATTAAAACTTAAAAATTATGTGATTAAGGATAAGAAATTAATAACATAGTATTGATTTAATGATTATTTATTAATTTTGTAGATATATATGCAAAATTAAATAATACTTGATTTTTATTTAAAACTGTGATTTTAATGTTATTATCCGAATTTGATAATTATCGATAGAAGTGATAATTGTAGAAAACAAAAATTGTACTTTTGTGACAATATAAAAGATCTTTCAATAAGAACGCTCAATTTTTAAATGTAAATAAAACAAGTGTGTGAAATATCCACTCAATTTTTTTTTTATTTGAAAGAATATTTTATGGCATTAAGTATGGAATATAATGTCGCTCAAATGTCGGCCGCGGCTTCGCTTGGTGACACGTATTCGGGCGGTCCAATTTTCGATGACTTTCTCGCATAAATCTGGCTGAATTTGCTGGATGACGTTTGTTATGTTGACTTTGAGAACATCAATTGTTTGCGGTTTATTCGTATAGATCTGCGATTTAAGATAGTCTCAAAGGAAGAAGTCTAAAGGCGTTAAATCGCACGATCTCGGTGGTCAGCTTCACGTCGCCGCCGCGCGAGATAATCATGCCCTCAAATCTCGTGCAGAATGTCTATCGTGGCATGCGGTGTGTGGCACATAGCGCCATCCTGTTAGAACCACATATTATCGATATCCATATCATCCATTTTAGGCCACAAGAAGTTGCTTATCATCGATCTGTAGCGCTCGCCGTTGACGGTTATGGCAACGCCCGCTTCGTTTTGAAAGAAGTACGGACCGATGATTCTGCCAGACCAAAATCCAAACAGTGATTTTCTCGGGATGCATTTGGAGCTAGTATATCTTGCGTGGATTGGTATCGTCCCAAATTCGACAATTTTGCATGTTCACATATTCATTCATCCAAAAATGGGCTTCATCGCTAAAGATGATTTGTTTGGCGAAATTTGAGTTAACTTCCAACTGCTCCAGAACCCAATCAGCGAACACACGGCGTTGTCTATAATTGTTTACCTTAAGTTCCTGGATCAGTTGAATTTTATAGGGGTGCAGACCTAAGTCCCGACGCAAAATTCGCCAAGTTGAAGTCGCAGAAAGACCAAGTTCTTGTGAGCGACGAGAAATTGACCGCCTCGGGTTTTCCCGAACTCTCACGCACAGCAGCGATGTTTTCAGCAGACCTTGCATTTCGGCGACGTACTGGTTAGCTGATTATTTATCGAATCGGTTGACTCGAATTTGGTCACCAAATGTCGAATAGTTGACTCGGCAGGACGGTTGTGGCGAGGATAAAAATCACGTAATGCACGGAACGGAGCACTGATTTTGATAATGAAAGTTTATGAATTGCACACGTTGCTCAATATTATGACCACTTCCATGGTGATTTGCCATACACTACTAAACAATTCACAACAAATTTGACAGATGTCACTTTAATAACATAGCTATGATCTAACAAATTTCGAGCGTCTTTATTGAAAGACCTTATATAAGGTATATTATAATGTTACAAGTATGTATATTTATTTATTGAGCATTTATTAGATGTACAACTTTGCTTCCGCCGTTTTTTTCCGAAATTCGAGGCTTTATTATAAAAAACTAGTTATACATTTATGATTCAAAGTATTGTCCATCGCTGGC